GGTGATTCTACAGAAACGTCAACTTTTCTATCTATCCCTAGGAGTCACTGGTGTTGCTGATCGTCATTGGTGTTACACATAAGAAAGGTAACACCAGTGACATTTTTAATGAAAAATGCGTTTTACGAATGGCTGCTACAGACCATCAAACCACATGTTGTCAGTCATGGAATATCCACTAAAATATGCAATTTAATCCATCTGTGTTCTATTTTTTCAAAAAATCCTAAGAATAAATTCGGTCACACCAGTGACTTCAGCTAAAAGCTTCATATGAAATCATGAGCTAAATGAGAAAATCTCTGATAACTGTGACACAGTGGACTCACCATGTGCTTTTCTTCATAGGTAAAAGGAAGTCAAGTGATGTCATCAGTGTGATTTTTATTTCAAAATAAGAGTTTTTTTTGTTGCACGGTAACACCAGTGACACGACTCCTGGGGCCAACAACTTTCATGATGTATTTTCTAATAATTATTCGCCATTGGTTTTCTTTATGTCATTTAAATCATATATTTCATAGTCATGTGTAGATTACTGAAGTTATAATTGCAGAAAAATGTTTTTTACTTCAAAATAACAGTCCTCTCCATTTACACATTACACTTTTGTGTAATGAGACACAATGAGCCAGATGGTTGCAGATAAAAGAAACAAATGAAGCCCAGCATTTATGCCAACTAAAACAAGTCACACCTCAGGAAACAGGTGAAAGAAATCAGTAGTCGGGTCAGGCCGATCTCCAATAGGTGGATTGTTGTGACTTCATCGTCTTGTGTTCTCCCAGAGGCTTCTGGGAATTGCAGTTCACCAGAGAGTCAGGGCTGGAAGAATGCATGACATTCTGAAGTCACGCATCCTTTTGTAGTGGGCAACATGCCCCTATAAGGAGCTCCAGGTCAAAGCCATTTTTCCTTATGGGAAAAATTAATGATATTTTCGAAAATCACCTCTAATGCATTTTGATACGTTGTCCTATGTACATTTGTGTCACTGGATCATCTGAATTATAAGGTTGTTTATGAGTCAAAATATGAATAATGCTACATACATTCAAGCTAACACCACTGCGCACTGAAATGTGTATGAAAGCAAGTCTAAACACTATTACACCAACACCAGCTACTCAAACCATGAGCTACTACCAAAGCTACTTAACCACCACATTTGACAAAGCTTGCAGATTTGTTTGGGGTATTTTGACGAGGTTGTCTGACTTATGATGTTCGTTCAATCACTGCAGTATTACATTCTGTGTAGCAATATACATATTTAGTCTTCATAAGAACCTCATAATTCAAAGGATCCAGTCACATTTGAAGAGTGACTGGAACATTTTTGGGCTAACACTTTAATTGAACCCTGCTACATAACATTAATACATCCATGCTATAAATCTCACAGCAGGTGTCATATGTTGTCATGAGTTGTCACGACAGATTATATTCAGTAATTCAACAGTGTCATGTTACCCCTACCAGTCATTGTCATAACAGATGCTATAATGTTTGATGTCTAGCAGCGTATGTCACATCTCCACTGTTTAAAGATAGCTTGTGTCTCCAAAACGGCAACTTTACAGGAAAAGGCAAAAACATTCTTTAAAAACTATGTAAGTAAACTGAAAGAGGTTTTATTCCAAGCAATTTTGGAGCATTTCTATTGGTCTATTGTCCACTTATTAAGTTTTTACACAATGTGGAGAACAGCTGCCATGTTCAAATGATGTAGAAAAGTAAAAATGAAAACATTTTTCTTTGGACAATGATGATATGCTAGTTTTTGCAAAGTGGACAATCTTTAAAAAAAAGGGGTTCTTTAGTAAAGAAAATGGTTCTATATAGAACCATGAACACTCAGCGAACCCTTTGCACGATTAAAGGGTCCCTTGCAACATGAAAGGAACTAATGGAGAATGTGTGGTATATGTTTTTTTATAGAACCTATTTGAAAAGAGTTCTTTTATTATTATGACATCAAGCTTGTAACAAAAGAAGAACCCTTTTTGGTGCTATATAGAACCCTTTACAAAAAGGTTCTATAAAGACCCATGCACGTTCTCCATCAATCTGAAGAACATTTCATGATGGATGCAACAAACCCTTTAACCATGCAAGGGGTTCTTTGAGTGTCCATAGCTCTATATAGAACAATTTTATTTACTAAAGAACCCTTAAAGAACCATCCTTTTTAAGAAGGTGGTAGTTAGTTGAACATTATGATATCTGTCATTACAGTTACTGGTTACCTGACACTTAATATAGAGTGTCAATGAATGATCTGATTTACAAGGTTGTTCATAAGTCAAAATATAAATAATGCTACATCCATGCTACAAGCTAACACTCCTGCACACTGAAATGATGGTGCATGAAAGTCTAAACTTCAACAATATTATATACCATCATCAGACACTCAAACTGAAAGGTTGTTATGACATTGTTATATGAATATACTGAATATAATCTGTCATGGCAATGTATGACATCTGCATGGTTATATCAACATTATGTAGGAGGATTTAAGTAAAATGTCACTCATTTTCATTTACCACAAGGCACACTGGGGGCAATTTACAAGAATGCTGTTCATTTTTTCCATAAGGATAAAAGGCTGAGACCCAGATGACGGTGACTTTTTTGATTCCCCCTTATCATTTTGGCTTCCACACTGAATATGACTGTGCATAAATTAATGACAATTGTAATTATTTCACTATATTTAGTGAGAATATTATATATTTGATGATATATATTACGCTTATTTTCTGCTTTAAGCTGTGCATCACGCATAGTACCTGAACGGCAGCAGCCGTGCTGTTTTAGTGCAGTGCTGAGCTCTATGAGAGTCGCTGTGGTCTCTGTGGTGCGGCGTAGTGCTCACTGACATTTCTCACCCATTTGCTCTGTCATCGCTCCCTGAGTGTGAGGCCGTCTCCCTGACCCCTGCTCTCCGGGGTTCGCTCAAATGGCACCGCTCCTGCCTCCAGCCTTCATGAAGTCATGAGACGGTGGAAGGGCCTGACTGCAAACAGAAATACGCCCGGATCCTGCACCACAGATTAACCCCTTAAACTCCAAGATCATTGTCCAGTTGATAGCCTTAATAATCTATCCTGAGTAATACATTTGTTTTCATGGATTCTTTTCATGCTCAATTAATTTTATGATTATTATTTACAATTTTGGTGCAGATAATCATAATTAGCCATCCAAGAGGACTACCATTTCTTATTCTATATGCTGTATCTGGAGTGAATTACTCAGGAATATGAAACTGTTATGTAAGCGGAGATGCAAGACCAACAAATAGGCTTAAAGTTTAAGGGGTAAATATTTTCTTCTCTCTTATCACCCCCACCCCTAGATAGGCTGCTCACCAAATGCCATCCATATTAGGCCGGTCACTTGCAGTGTGCTTATGAGGTGCTACTAATGATATCAGTCATAGCAGTACATGTTCATGATATGTGATTTCTAAGGAGTTATATTATTAATTCTGCATTGATGCATAAGACAATCTTGAATATGTCCGTTCTCGATTCACAGTAATGCATGTGGGGAAATGGATGTTAATGTCCTTTTCAATGGATTCTGCAAACATATCTGTTCACACAGGAATCAGCAAAAGCAAAGCTAAATGCATTGCATGAAAGGAAAGCAGGTGCAATAATTCTATTGTAAAAAATAGAAAAAAAAATAAAATAAATAAAATAAAAAATTCCAAAATGAAACAACAGAATACCATTTTGAAAGACTGGAGTGCGTCAAATTTATTTCCTCAATTCCAGGAAAACTTGATCAAAAGAAAGATCAAATCTTTCAACTTTTCAACTGTGCACAAACAAAGAAAAGCGATGACAGATTAGGCTGGAAAAAAAATCCAAAACTAATAAACAAAAACAAAATAAAAAACAAAAAAGGAAGTATGCAGCACATGGTGCTCCTCCCTTCTCAAGGACAGCAACACAACAACATACTTTAGTTAACACCCTGATTAATCAAACCAACATTTTCTGGATGATTTTGATAATGAAGACTAACTTCTTCACAGGGTGTACATTGGTTGTTTTGATTTGTTGTTGAAGGGGCGTTATGACCAATACACCAATACAAGTCAACAGTTTGAAAGCTACGACTGGACATAAACTATATGGACAAAGGTTTTGGGACACCCCTTGTAATGATTGAGTTCAGGTGTTTCAGTCACACCCATTGCTAACAGATGGATAAAATTAAGCACATAACCTTGCAGTCTCGATAGACAAACACTGGCAGTAGAGGGTCGTACTGATGAGCTCAGTGACTTTAAACATGGCACTGTCATAGGATGCCACCTCAGTTTGTGAAGTTTCTGTCCTGCTAGATCTGCCCCAGTCAACTGTAAGTGCTATTATTATAAAATGGATGCAACTTGGAGCAACAACAGCTGAGCCATGAAGCGGTGGACCACGCAAACTCACAGAGTGGAACCGCCAAGTGCTGAAGCTCACAGTGCCTATCCTCTGTTAACTCACTCTGGAAGCAGCATCAGCAAAAGAACTGTGTATCAGGAGCTTCATGAAATGGGTTTCCATGGCCGCTACACACAAGTTTACACTTCCAACATTGAACAGTTTGGGGAAGAACCTTTTCTGTTCCAGCATGACTGAGCCCCAGTGCACAAAGCAATGTCCATAAAGCCATGGCTGGGTGAGTTTGGTGTGGATGAACTTGACTGGCCCTCACAGAGCCCTGACCTCAACCCCATCTAACACCTTTGGGATGAACTAGAACAGAGATTTCGAGCCAGGCCCTCTCGTCCAACATCAGTATCTGACCTCACAGATGCTCTTCTGAATGAATGGGCAGAAATGTCCACAGACACTCTCCAAAATCTTGTAGAAAGCTTCCCAGAAGAGTGGAAGCGGTTATAGCTGCAAAGAGGCACCAACTCCATATTAATGCCTATGGATTTAGAACAGGAGGTCATAAAAGCTACTATAGGTATAATGTGTCGGTGTCCCAATACTTTTGTCAATATAGTGTATGTATTACTATATTAATGCTAGCTTTAGTAATCAGTATAACACTGCTAACATTTATTAAACAGAGCTAGTATTCTTATGCTAATGCTAACATTATATAATAAAGATTTTTATAATAACTAACATTGTAAAATAGGTCATGGCAATGTTAGCTTTAACATAATGTTAACATTACTATAACAATGCTAGCATTAGATAGCAGCGTCTTTTCCCTTTAGCAGTCTATAGAACTCGGCAGTCTTTGTGCTCTGACTTCTTGTATCTGCGGTAATGCTCTTTGATGTTGTGTCTTCCTCCACATAGCATTTCCAAAATAATCTTGACCAGCTCCTTTACTTGGTGACGGCTTTTGTCGTTGTTGTCAAAAGCGTGACATCTCGAGCCAAAAGTTTTTATCAGCTGCTGAAGCTGAGGGTCAGTATTTTTAATGTAATCTTCTAAACTCACCCCCTTCAGCTTCTCTTTGCCTGTGAACAGGATGACCGTCTTTTTGACCACTTCCTCCCCGAATGTTTTCTGTATATTCGAGACGCTCTCTCTTTCTCCCACTGTGAAACGGCCCATATGCATAACCAGTAAATACACCACAGGCTCCTGCTGAGAGAGTTCTTTACACTTCTTAACGTGGATCTCTGGATTCTTTAGATCTTCGTCAAAGAAATCTGGTGTATCAATGACCCTCATCTTTATTCCACAGACCAGTTCCTCTGCTACCTTACATTCCTGTGTTGTGGCTGTAGAACTAGCATGGGACTCGAAATATCTTTTGGTCAGTATGGTGTTACCAGTCGCACTTTTCCCACTGCCGGTCTGTCCCAACAGCACAATGGTCATCACGTTTCTCTCACCGTCAAGCATGGCTTCAGCTGACTTCTCATCTAGAAGAAAAGAGTTAACATGGCCTTAATAATTGACCCAAGCATACTTGTTGGAAAAGGCACATATGGTTAAGGTTAGCAGTAGGGGCTAGCTCACACTGTAAAACCTGATGAGTTAAGTCCACTCAAATGGTTTGAGGAAACCGATTGCCTTAAACGCTTTAAGCTAAATAACTCAAATCATCTGACCATAAATAATTCCCTAAACTGAGTATGAACAAAACATGTGTTTATTGTTGCATACACTTAACTAAATTGAGTAAACTGAACTAATTTTGTTGATCTTAAAATGAGTATTTTGGACTTGTATGTTATAGTTGTACTGACTCAATACAACTAAGTAACTGTAAATTCAATTCACTGATAGGCTGAACTAGGCCATCATTATAACAAATTCATATTACACAGCAGTGACACAATAATAACAGACATTGATAACAATGTCTTTTTTAACTTAACTTTCTTTGGACTATCTTGCCAAAAACTGACAGTTTAGCCTAGAGTGCTGTACTCAGCAGGCAGAGCTCAGGTTTCTTAATGCTGATTTGCAGTACTGAGCAAAAAGTTTAGGAAATAAGTATACACCCAAGGGAAGGTAGGCTGGAGAGAATGACAACACACAGACAGAAAGGTAAACAAGGTGGAAAGACATGCCCAATATGCAAATATATGGTACCAAGAGTCAATAGGAACAAAGTGGGTTTTACTCAAGAAGGTTTTGACCAAACATTTATCAAGTGAAGCTCAAAAGTCTAAACTGCATGGCAATAAGTTGATTCAACTTAAAGATCCAGTTTGATTGTCTGAAATCATCCAAATAAAGTTATGAGAAAAGCATAAAAAGTCCAAATCATTTAAATGTAAACATTTCTGCAGTCTATCACACAAATTGACTGATACAGAATTCTTCAACAGCTCAAACACTGAAGCAACTAGAACATATTCGCAGTGTGCTGAGGTGACCAGTTACTCCCGACAGACACCAAGACTATTTCATGTGTTTGACTTCCATCACTTTTAACATAGCTAATTCTGAATAGGCCAAAACCAGGACTAATACATGGAGTAAACAGTCTTTCATTATAAGTGTGCATGTATAGGTAGAAAAGGGGCAAAACAACACAGGCACCCTAAATTTTCAACAATCTTTAAAAACACCTTACTGGCCTGTCTGCATTTGTATGTATTGTCAACTTAAATAAAATGAGTGAATATAAAAGTTACCTTACCTCAAAAGATGCAAAAAATTATCTTACTTAAAATGACTGAGTTACTATTTCAACAATTCATCAACAATTAATTTTTGAGTTAGTTTGAATTTTTCAGATTAAGTTACTCCAAATTTCTGTAGTATTTAAGTTGTGTTAACCTAATTTTTTCTTTAAGACGTGCAGTGAGTTTTACAGTGTAGTGGTCATAGATATTATCATGAAAGAAGAACATTTTAACATTATAATGCACTTATTAAGCCTTATCCAGCTAGTAGCTGGTAATTACCTGGCTGATAATAATTGCCTTATTAAGTACTTTTACTTGTATATTATACATGATAGCTTTTTTGCTCAACATTTAGGTGTCCATTATAATTCACTCATAAAGCCCCATCAAGACCATTATGTATAAATGTATAACTGTATTATACTGGACACCTAAAGTGTTGATAAAGTAGTAATAGGCAGCTAGTTAATTACAAGCTTATGGCTTAATAAGAGCATTACAAGCACATTACAATGACTGTAATGTTACCAGAAAATGAGCAAAAGGTACCAGCTGGTTTAGGTTGTGTTTTCTCAAGTTTTTTGGCAAAGAGCTCAGAAGTTCTTTCAATATTTTCGTATATCCTAGATTGCTCCTCATCCTCTTCAGGCACAGCTGCAACTGGTTCCGTTTCTACAACAAAGAATATGAATATGTTATTATGAAAGAAGATGTGCCAAAGTCATCATTTGCACAGAATTTCTTTTTTAAAAAGTGAAAGTAAGCTGAATATTACCAGATGGATTAGGTTGTGCCTTTTCCTGCTCCTGCTTTATGTCACATGGTTTATAAGATCTATCAATGGTTTCGTATATCCTAGATTCCAGCTTTTCCTCCTCAGGCATGGCTGCAACTGGTGTGTCTACTAGAACAAGGCAGATGTAGCTGTTATCATCCAAAACAAAAAACGTCAGTTGCACAAAATATCGTATGGATAGTACTTTAAAGTAATTATAAGCTGAGCATTACCAGCAGATGGTGCCTTTTCCTTTTCAGGCGTTTGGTGACCAGATTTATTAGGTTCCTCAAGGGTCTCATCTAACCTACAAGATTATGATAAGTTATGGGATGAAATCTTAACTGAAACCACTGTCAAGGTCAGCAATAAGAAGAAGCAATTCAGTCAATATTGCTGCATCTCTTACCTCTCAGGTGGACACTTCTGCTGGATTCTTCTGTACTGTGTCAGCAACTGATCCTTCAGTTCTTCGCTCTTCATGCCATGTTTGAAATAACAAACTCTTCCACCACATTCATGAAGAATCTCTTGAAAGTGCGTTTTAGCTTCAGATGTTGACTCTTTTATTGACATTCTTTTATCTTTGACAAGCACCACAATTATGTTGTCCACTTCGTTTTGTCCATAAGTTTGCTTTAGCTGTGCCAACATGGCCATCTCTTCTGATGAGGCGTGGTCATCTTGCATGATCAGGAGGAACACACACGCATCTGAGAAAGATGGTTTTATCTCCTCAAAGACTTGTTTCTCGCAGCCAGGGTTCTGTCCATGGTAAAGGTCCGGAGTGTTTATGACACAGCACATCCTACTGTTCATTTGCAGCACTGCTTTCTTAAACGTGGACTCTTCTGGGCTGAAACATTCATTGTCTAGAATGGTATTCCCTATCAGTGCCTTGTCGCTGCCACTCTTTCCCAGTAGGATGACAGTGAGCATGTTGATGCCTGCAGAGGCGCAACTGTTCGTGTCTTCCATGGTCAACAGAATGTCAGAAACTATATATTTTGTGATGAAATAAACCTTAAATCAGTCTCCAAATGGCGTTAAAGCAAGACGAACCTTCAAGTGTCAAAAGAAGAACAGACTTAGTGACTGAGACTTGCCAAAAGGAGAAAGTTCTTGACAAAAGAGACATTTATAAACTTGACACTCCTGATATCTATAAAATCCAGTCATCTATGCAGTTCACAAAAACTTGACTTGAACCTGACTTACCTTGTGACATAACTTGTTCAGGAAGATTTTGCACATTCAAAACAGATTTTAGGTCATTTCTTTGGACTCTAACCTTTAGCGAAGAGTCTGAGCTGCTTAAATGAAAATAAAAACTGCAGTGCTTGTTATTTGAGAGTAAAGGAAAAAAGGGGTGTGGCAGTGAAGCCTTGTATGACAAGATGCCACCTCAGCTGCCTTTAAATTGCTAAACAGCATTGTTGTGTGCAGCATACTTTTCACACGACAATGTTGAACTGTCTCTGCTGCAAATGCCGACGAGCAACTCCCATTCCAGATGGTAAGTCTTCTTTTTCTTGTTTAGTGTTGCTCTGTTTACTTATTTTTAATCTTACAACATTAATAACCTTTTCAGTGCAGTTGGAAAACTCAATATTAATGATTGAATGAATGATCACAATCTATTTAATTTGTTAGCACCATCAAAATACAACAGAAACACAATGGTAAAGACAGGGTGTAATCCTTGCCAAATAACCTGTCAAATGGCCTGGTTGGAGGCTTTAAAAGTTAAATTGCAAACTTAATAACTACTTTTGTTGTGTTGGCAGGCCAACCACTTCGTATAGTGATGATAGGCAAAACGGGAGTGGGGAAAAGTGCTCTTGGGAACACTATTATCGGGAGAAAAGTGTTTAAATCCTCTCCTTCTGCAAACTCGGTTACCGAGACTTGCCAAAAGGCGAAAGTGAACGACCAAAGAGACATTTATGTAATTGACACTCCGGGGATTTTGGACACCAGTAAAACAACAGAAAGCATCAAAAAGGAAATTGTAAAATGCATTCAAGTTTCAGCGCCCGGACCTCACGTCTTCCTGCTGGTGATGCAAATTGGCCGTTTCACCCCAGAAGAGCAAAACGCTGTGAAAGCCTTGCAGGAGCTATTTGGAGAAGAGGCTTGTAAGTACATGATTGTGGTGTTCACACATGGAGATGCGCTGAAAGATCAAAATATACAGGACTATGTGGGTACTGGACACTCACAACTCCGCAATGTTGTCCAGACTTGTGGGAGCAGATACGTTGTCTTCAACAACAACAACATGGAAAACCGAGATCAAGTTGTGGAGCTTATAGTTAAGATTGATGAGCTGGTTGCAGCCAATGGGGGAAGTTACTTCACCCAGGAAATGTATGAAGAAGCAGAACGAAAAATCCAGCAGCAAAAGATAGCAAGGGAGCAGGCAGAGCTTCAAAACTATGACTTCAGCTTCCTTGAGGTTCTGCATCAGAGAATTATTGTTTTCCAACAAATACTCAGGAAAGATCTAGATGAAACTTAAGGTTACTAGCAACACATCCACTTAGTACAGCTTCATAATTGCACTGAACCTGAAAACATTGTTGATAAATTAATGGCTTTCAGTTACAGCTTTGAATCTTCAGAAAATCAGTGTTTCTGTGTAAGTCTCATTATCTTTACTGATGTCTGTATAAAAGTATTATCAAAAATAGGTTTAAATTAAACTCATTAGAACACTTCTCTTTTTATGAAAGACATGTATGTTTTTTGTATGAATTATTATCTTTGGAGCACTATCTATATACCATAGAAACCCTTTTGGGTCTACAACTATTAAGACCCCTTGCAAATATTGTGCCTCCCTTTATATTTTTTAGTTTGGGAAGGCTATTCTATGCTGGAAAGTCAACATGTTTATATGTTAATATATTGTACATTTAAATAAAAAGTCACTATTTTGTGGTTGTTTTTGACAACACTTGATTGTTTAGATAGATACAGATAGATAAGCTAGACAGATAGATAAGTTAAAAATTTGATAAACTAGATGAGAATAAGAAAGACTGGAGATTAGAAGATAGTCAATAGGGCTGGATATCATTCAATACTAATACCAATACCTTGACTTTGATACTAATTCCTGAACAGTATTGTTTCGAATATCTTCTTCTTCTACATTCCAAACCTAAAATGGGTGTGATTGCAACAGGGGTGTCAAACTAGGTTCCTTGTGGGCAGAGATTATCATTTTCACAAAGGCCTTGCAAGTTAGCTGATGAGTAGTATCAAGTTTGCAGGTGTTTGACCAAGTTTTACACCCCTGGCCTAAAACTAGAAATGAACGTGAGGTTCACCGGATTGTGGCCTAATCTAGAAGTGTGGACATACATGTGGGGTCTAGTTTTGAGAGCAAATCAGCTATATGTGGCATGTTTCAATAAAATGGCCCATTTCCTTAAAAAATTTAGTTGAAATTAACAATTAAAACATTGTAAAAATCCTAAAACATACAGAGTATCCATATAGTCTATTTATGAAAGCTAAGTAGCCAAAACAACACATTTTGAATGCATTATGGTTATGACATCAACACATCTTTGCATATTCAAAGAGTCACCCATTGACTGTCAGGAAGAACACTGCAGTCTTCAAAATTTTCCCCAAAGGATTCAGCTAAAGTTTAGTTTTTCTGACATTACTGATGATTTCAGCCCATTTCAGCCAATCAGGATAAAGCTCGTTTATATATCTTAATGTAAAAGACATATTATAAGCCTGTCTATAAGGGATAGGAATGAAGAGTGTTCACATAAAAACTTGTCTAACCACTTCTTATTGGAACTGTTCACCCACAATGCCTGGAAATTCTCCAGATATTTGTGCTAAAATGAACCTTAGATGTTCAGTAACAGCCTCCTACCAAAGTCAAACAAAACAGAAGCATCTTTAGATCTGACTGTGTATTAAATCTCAGTGCTTTTCCAGTTACAATAAGTGTAGCTATCAAAAACCATGGTGTCATTGTTGACACAAAGACCTCATAAATAATGTTGCTGCTCTTCTGCCGACAAAATATTGCAAAGGAATGTGTTCTTTACATAAATATGATACATGACTAAGGCCTAGTCCAGGACCTTCAGATCTTTTCTGTATTGTTTCACTGTCACCAACTTTGTCTACATGTTGTAGCAACAAAGAAAAGATCCATAGCAGGAATATTTCTGCAGTGCTGTGAGCTTTCATCAACAATTCTGTGTTTATCATATTCTAAATGTTTTTATGACTTGATATGTAACCATAAGGATTTGTAACTGAACTACTATCATGTTAGGTTCAATTAAAACAAACCCTGTTGTGACTGCTCTGTTAGTGTGCTACTTTAGAACAAGTGTAAATGCCATTTTTGAATAAAAAGACTAAAACCCCCTGAGAGGGACGGTTCAAATGAACTCTGATGAGGTTTATTTGATGCATGAACATAATTGGAGAAAGATCTCTGGGAAGGTTTTCTTTTACAGTTCCCCAGGTTGTAACTGGGTAAGTGTGAGGTACAAAACTCCGAAGTATTAGGTAATTATTTTTGGTAACATGCTAGTGAGTTCCAAAATAGTTTAGCCCCTTAACGATCCAGGCTTATTACATTCAAAGATTTATTAATCAGTAGCTACAGGCAGTTCAATGCAAACTAATGGAGCTCTTCTTAGGTTAAGGAAGTGTGTAATAATAATAAGTGTGTAATAATAATGGCTTGTTAAGGAGTTAATAAAGTTACACTAAAATACCTAACAGGTTCTAACTGGGCGAGTGTAGGGTACAGTCTCCAAACTACTGAGGATAAGATAGAGGTAAGTACCAAAACAGTCTAAATTACATTAAAATACCTAATAGGTTCTAGCTATTAAGCAGGTAAATGTTTAAATGTAAATTGTTTAAAGTGATAAGGTGGCAAGTGTGAAATAACTCACACTAAATTTCACACATTTAACCAGTAGAGTACAGTGGAAACATCATTATGCATGGTCTTACATAGTATGTACTGTCCATTTCTAGGACTGTCCACTATCCTAGAAATCCAACTGAATCTGGGCTGTAATAGAACCAATTTACTTTTCTGCCTAAATGTGTGCAATTGCAGTGAAATATAGTGTAAATATATTCATACTTACCAACTTCTTTCCACAAATAATTTCATTGTTTCATTCATTTCAGTGTAATTCTGTTCACTGTTTTCAGTGTTGTGTACTTTTTTGTCTTTCCCAAAATGGTTATTGTGGAGTACTGTGGAGTTTGTACCACATGCTTACCCAGTTAGCTAGAACATGTTTGTCATTTCAGAGTGATTCACCACATTACCCAAAATAATTACAGAGCACGGAGTTTGAAGAAGAGGAAGTTTGTTCCTCATACTCACCAAGGTGATATGTAGAACTTAGGTGGCTGAAAAAGAAAATGTTACCAGATACCTAAACAGGACAAACTCAGAGCGAATCATCATCTCCTCTCTGCAGACATTCTTTTCTACCTGTGGCAGACCGGTTTCTGACTCGTTCACGTGATTTATCATCTTTTTATGAGCTCTACATTAGTGATTACAGAACAGATGGTCTTAGATGAGACTGAGTGCCATTTGAAGCCATTATAACACATTCAATATTCACACATATCATCGCACACATTAACTGTCAACATCAAATTATGCATTAATGTGCTAAGTTAATACTATCTTACTATAAAATCAGTAAGCCGCTCTTTGTGTGTTACAGTAATTGTACTCAGCTTCACATTGTGAGAAAACTTGGTAACACACAGCTGCTCATGGCTTTTTCCTGTGGAATATGGCAAAGTAAGGATAAAACAAGACGTATAAAAAACTACACTACAGATACAGGAGAGGACAATATGGCAAAGAAAGGATATTATCTAAGTTGTTGTTGCCAAATGTACATAATATATTTGGCCCACACTTTTTCCCCATATGACTCTTGTTCATATGTTTGCTATCTATCTATCTATCTATCTATCTATATATATATATATATATATATATATATATATATATATAGCAAAAAATGTGAACAAAAGTCAATGTGAACGAAATTCAGAAAGATCACTTCCAGCATTGCATGTAATGCAATCGATTACACATATGTCAAGGTGTGTAGCACATTTTTTTGGTTCTGATTGCTTCATCTTAACCCTCTATCGCGCAATGTTGCACAAACATTCTCCTCACTTTACAATAACATTATACATATTTAAGGACACTGACAGGGTTAAAAATAAAGGGCAGAATTTGAGTGAGTCAGTAAAAAAAGCACGGTTTTGGTCTCTTAGAGGGCACTTTCAAACCTCCTTTTAACATTCAGTATCATTTTTCAGCTATGTAAATTTGCAGAAATATGTTTGTTGCCTAGAAGCAACAGTGTGCAACAGTGGAATGGATTTAGCCAGTCACAAGCCAGGTCTCACCACTTCAGGGAACACGGATCTATATAATTTCATCCCATTGTTGCACAATGTTGCCTCAAGGCAACATACCCCAAAAGGACCCCTACACAGAGTATTATTTAAAAAATACTTTGAATTCAATAATCAGGTCAATTTTATGCAAGAAAACTAAATTGTATATATATATATATATATTTTTTTTTTTCTGACTTTTTTTTTTGGCTTTGGACCTGCAGTGCTCACCTACAGATTTAAACACACCACTGGGGAACGCTTAGGGCCTTCTAGGCTTTACGATTTCTGGGAACTAAAAAAAAATGTGTAATTTTTAGTTCATTTTTATTTGATTCAATCATCATGCTTGTTGTATTCAAACTCAGTGTCAAGTTGTAGTTGGAAACAAGAAGTTTAAAATCTGGTGCAATCAGAATTTTTTTTTTCTCTATTGTATCTAGTTAGATACAGCAAAGTGAGCTCTCTCATTTGTTAAATCAGAACTCCTAAGAAATGTTCTTGTTCAGTGTTAGATTAGTACTAACATGCCATTAGAATCCCATAGGGGTGCTAGCAGAAATGAGCATTATCAGATGTTATTTTCTTGAGTTTTAACATTTATAGCCCACACTGAAGGCCTAGCACTAAGGGTCATAGTTCACCACTGAAATGCACCCCTAAATAAACCACATACTTGTCTAATCTAGTAATTCTCTACTAAAATACATGGTACATGGAGTCATATTTTGGAAAGAAAGACGCAAAGCACATTATGATGGTGTGTGCTTGTCCATGGTTAAAGCCTTGGACGCACTATATGACATGTAAATTCCAAACAGATTATAAAAAGAGTGGGTATCTCACAGTTCCCACTGATTTTTGCAGATTTTTCTAGTGAAATATTAAGGATCCTGCAATAACCAAACAACAACAACAACTGAACTGAATACATACACCCTCCCTTTTTAACAAGATAAGAAAAACAAACAAATAGTGTTGTTACTTTTGTTTTCACCATTTGTGCTAACACAGTAAATAAAAAATGTGTGAAGCACTTTTGGGTCATGGATGTGAGATTTTATCAGAATGTGGTCGTTTCTAGAATACAGGCACTTGACTCTGCTCCCCAGGTATGTGCTCAAATAGACCTCCCTGCTCCTTTTGCCTTCAAACTGTAAACAAGCCCTCTTGATCAG